TTTAGATGAAATGCCATTTTCCAGTAAACAACGCAAATTTTATGACATAAATCTACCTCAATGAAAAATATTTCACAAGGGACAGAATGGTACGGTCGGTTAATTTTCCACGCAACTCTCACGTGCTTAGACGTTTTCTACCAATAAAATTCGCTTATAGCTAACCTGGACTTTACCCCATTGCGTGTCAATTTCCTGTAAACAACCTGCATTTTATCACGTATTTCGCACGCAAAGGGCAAAGTCCAGATAGGCAACAACCAATCAAGTAGCCCACCGTATTATCCTTTGAAGAATGATACTTTCTCTTAGTTCAATCTACTTTCACTTGTTCGAAGAACGGAGACCGGAAAATATCTTTGTCCAGAGGCTGTAAGACCTACGAGCAGGTTGTTGTTTAGTCTCGTCATGCAATGTTGGAGAGAGAGATAGCGTTGCGTGACAAGTTCAAATTAGGACAATTTTAACCTATGAGCAGGTTGTCTGTTAGTCTCGTCATGCAATGTTGGAGAGAGAGATAGCGTTGCGTGACAAGTTCAAATTAAGCGTTGTACCAATGCAGTTTATTTTTCCAAAAATTATTCAGGCACCAGCATCAGTTATATAGTGTCCCATTTCAACCTACGTATCCAAAAAAATAACTCCTGCATGCGTAGCACGCCTATGTTTTTACTTTCTGTTTGCCCAAATTTACCCTGATAACTCTAACTTTAAGTTGGTCAGTAAATGTCAAATGTTAGCTAGCTACTGGCTAACATTTACAATTTATCTGTCATCCAAGATTGTGCCAGTTTATAAAGATAAGGGTGAGTCCTATGTCAGCAACTACAGACCTATTTCTCTGTTCTCCTGTGTCAGCAACTACAGACCTATTTCTCTGTTCTCCTGTGTCAGCAACTACAGACCTATTTCTCTGTTCTCCTGTGTCAGCAACTACAGACCTATTTCTCTGTTCTCCTGTGTCAGCAACTACAGACCTATTTCTCTGTTCTCCTGTGTCAGCAACTACAGACCTATTTCTCTGTTCTCCTGTGTCAGCAACTACAGACCTATTTCTCTGTTCTCCTGTGTCAGCAACTACAGACCTATTTCTCTGTTCTCCTGTGTCAGCAACTACAGACCTATTTCTCTGTTCTCCTGTGTCAGCAACTACAGACCTATTTCTCTGTTCTCCTGTGTCAGCAACTACAGACCTATTTCTCTGTTCTCCTGTGTCAGCAACTACAGACCTATTTCTCTGTTCTCCTGTGTCAGCAACTACAGACCTATTTTCTCTGTTGCCTATTTTCAATAGAATATTTGAAAAGTTAATGTATCAAAGACTAAACAAATTCATAAATAAATATGACATCTTAACTAACTCCCAATATGGCTTTCAGGGTGGTCATAATACTCAACATGCAATTCTGGATATTGTTTACACAATTCAGAGTTACATGAATAGTGGTAAATTCACCTGTGGACTCTTCATTGATTTGAAAAAAGCCTTTGATACCGTTGATCACTCTATACTTCTTCAAAAACTTGATTTTTATGGCTTCAGAGGCACCTTTAATGACTGGTTCCGTTCTTATTTAACTCAAAGGAAACAAAGCACTGCAAATGGCTCTTACATCTCTGATAGTGAAACAACTCTGTGTGGCGTTCCACAGGGCTCTGTGCTGGGCCCACTTTTATTCTTATTGTATGTGAATGATATAGATAATTCTTCAAAGCACTTTTCCTTCTAATTATTTGCTGATGATACAAGTATCATTTATGTAAACCAGAATCTTCATAACCATGAACAGGTAGTTAATTCTGAACCATGTAATATCAGTGACTGGCTTCTAGCTAACAAGCTAACCCTTAATTTTAAAAAAAACCAACTACATGCTTTTCCATCCCAGGCAGAAATGTTTAACATATTATTACATCCATTTTGAAATCACTGGTGGTCCCTGTAATCTGATTGGCTCTAATTGGTGCGATTTATTCCCAAATCGCACCATTTTTTGCTCTAAATGACATCTTTTTTCCAGCCAATGAGGAATTTACAATTAAAACAAACAACCAATCAGATTTCAAGGCTTGTTTAAAGTGACCAATCGAATTGCAGGAAAATTAAAAACAAAGAGTATCATCTGGCAAATTTTGCAACTTTTGTTTCCAAAACTCTTATTTTTCCCCCCAAAAATGGATGAGTTTAATATCATCCAGTTTTTGAATGATGACAATGAGATTCTTCAGGCTGAAGACCAACATGCCAGGGACTTTCCCACTTTTTGTCTACATTTTGGTGAATATTTTGACGATTTTGTACCTTCTCAAGCTCAAAATCCGCGCGATCCCGAGTCCACCGAGTCAACAACAAACGAAGAAAATCAAAAGCCACTACAAGAGTTGGATGTTGCAAGATTTCCCATCATTTCAAGCGATGAAATACATGAGCTTAAGTCTGTCACTTCCAATAAAAATACGTCCCGCTCCACAAAACAATGGATGAATNGGCATCATGTACCTTGGAAAAGAAAGATTTTGTCAAATATCTTGGTGTTCTGATTGATTATGAACTTTCCTGGAAAAGCCATATTGAACTAATCTGTTTAAGATCAGTAGAACTGTGGGAATTCTTGCAAGGCTTAGACATACTATTCCATTACATTCCCTTTTAAATATCTATCAAGCCCTTGTTAGTCCGTATCTTTATTATGGCATCTGTGCTCAGGGCTCTGCACCCAAATCTTATTTAATTAAGTTACTTTTAATTCAAAAGCGAGCTCTACACCTGATTTACTTTAAGGACTATAAGCAACATGCTGTTCCACTTTTCCTAAAATTGAATGTCTTTCCCCTTTCCTTTATTTACTTTGATCGTCTTTGTAATATCATGTGGGACATTGCTAACAATCATGCTCTTGAAATTATTAAGCAAGCATGTACAAGAATCTCTGAGGTGCACTCATATTCTACCCGATCTTCTGTTAATGATAATTTTTATACCAAACACTCAAGGCTTGAAAAAATGCATTGTTCTTTTCTAAGAATTGGTCCAAAAATCTGGACCAATTCAGAATTCTCTACCCTCAGATATGAGAAAATTGCCAAAATCCACCTTCCGGAAAAAGTTAAGGAATAAACCCTCTGAAGTTTTATTGATATTTGATGACTACCTTGATATCCCCGAAATTATGCACCAAATAACTAAAATTTAGATAGCTCTGAAATAGGACTTGACTTTTATTTTCTGTGTAATTCATGTTGCCATTTCTGTATCTTAATAATATTTTTAACTGATACCATAATTTCATTTTGAGACAGCTGGTATTGTTTGTAAAATATTTTTCATCTTTTCCTCTCTCTATAAACTTGTGTGCCTCTTCCCCTACTTTGATTAAGCTCTTCTATATGTGGGTGGAAACTAACATGAAATTATAATTTGTGAATTAATGAATAAAGTTTATTGTTGTTGTTGTTGTTGTTGTCAATGTACAACAACATAGTTGATTGAAGTATGTCAATCTTTAATGGTGAAAATTTATGAAAACATAATACATTTAGGTAAACTTTCCAAACTAAACATTGCTATAGAGAAGCTTTTTTTAAAACAAATTATCGAAATGACTGTTGATTGTACAAGGATGGAAAAAACTGATTCCTAATTAATTGTTAACAGAATTAACAGGGTAATTGAAATTCACCACCAATCCTGATGACTCTAACCTATGCTTACTCTACCCATTTTTTGTTTCCCATTGGATTTTGAGTGAGTAGGGTTCTATTATAATTTGCCTTATGTCTGCCCAGGGAGCCATGTAAGAAAGATAAGGATTAAACTTTGAAAATTTAACCATTAATTGTGTTTTGTTCCACAGGGTCTAACAGTTACCCAGATCAAGGGTGTGCGGACACTTATTGATGAAAATATAGCCAAATGCAATGAGGAGGTTGTTAAAGTGGAACAACTAAGGAATGAGAAGTTATTTGAAGTTGGCAATCTTTTGCATGAGTCAGTTCCTATTAGTAATGATGAGGTACATAAATGTAATGTTAAATGGACCTTTTAAATTGTAAGTACAGTCATATGATATGGATTTTTGGCACTGAGTTGGAAACCAGGGTGTTATGTGAGAATATCTATCAAGAATATAGGTATCAAATTTGTTATGTGACAGTGCGTTACAGAGCACATTTGAGCAAACATTTTCTTGCCATGGAGCACCAGTATAGGTTGAGATTGCAGACTAAAGACATCAGGCAATGAGACAGAGTTTAAACTTTAACTTTATCTCCAATATTCCTACTGGATGGTGAAAAAACTCAAGAGAAGGAAAATGCACCTAAGGTGCACTTACAATTTATGTCATCTAATTTAATTAAATTTCTTGAATTTACTTCTAAAATTTGAAATACCACTAGCATCTCTTACTTCTTGTTGGAGACTATTCCAAAGCCTACTATTAATGTAAGAAAAGGTACAATGCTGAAAACAAGATCTAGGGGCAGACTGGTTTAAACATGATCCACTTACAATGTTTATGGTTACAATAATAGGTGGGAACCTCTTAATGGAAGCCCTAAATATGTGAACTAAAGATTGAAACAGCTGCCTCTCCTTAATAGTATCGAGACTTAGTTGACTCAATAAATTAGTATAGTCAATGGATTTGGAAAACAAATACAGCCTTCTCTGCTTATGATGATAAGCTTTTCCCATTTTATCACAAAATGTTTTGGATAACCCTACAAAAATAGGCAAACAATCAAAATGAGGAGGATTGCGGGCTTAAAATATTCTCATAGCAGCGTAACTATCAATAAAGTTGCAAATTCTCCTGAGAGTACTAGCCTTTGGATAGATTTTACTTTTTTACTTAGACTATTTTTAATATGAGTAGCATATGATATTTAATTGACACCAAGCAGCTTCAGCTTGTCCTTTATTTCAATGGAACTTTCATTTAATGAAAGGGAGAGTTATGGTGAGAGGACCTAAAAAATACCATTATAGCTTGAGTCTTGTTATTTAGCCGTTTAGAGAGTAATGATAGTTCTTCGTTTAGTATGAAAGCTATAATATGATGGTAGGGCAGTCACTTGAAAAGTAGCCAATAACATTATCTCCATAGGGTCTTAGGTGTATATTTCTGGCAACAAATGTGATATCATTGCTGTAGATATTTTTATGTACATGTAGATAGACTTTAAGCCATAATATGTTGGCCCTTTCACTTAAAAAAAAAAAATGCTAAAAGACTTGGTATGTGTTTTTTTGTTTTGCTGTTAGACAGCAGTAACTCCTCTGTCAATTATTTCAGGTAAAACTTTCCCTTTTCTTTTTTGCACATATTTGTACTCTTTTTATTATTTAGTCATTGTTTTTGTTCAGGATGACAACAAGGTTGAAAGAACATGGGGTGACAGTTCTATTAGAAAGAAATACTCTCATGTGGATCTGGCGTACATGGTGGATGGAGTGGACACTGAGAGGGGTGCATCTGTGGCAGGCAGCAGAGGCTATTTTCTGAAGGTTGATATGATCCTTCCAGAAACATAACATTCCCTACACTGTTATAAAAGCACATAACCTTTATTAAAGATTTTTCCTATTTAACTATATAACAAACTTGCAAAAAGTAGGAGAAAATAACAAGTTTTTAACCACAGGTATTTACTTCAAAGAAAGTCATTTTTTATATGTTTTGTGCTGAAAATGTATCTCCTTTATGCTGTGCTTGCATTCCACAGGATTATTACTGTGAACTTGTGCAGTGTGCTGCTAAATTTATCACCCTTTCACATGGCTCCCCATGTAAAACACATGTACAGCATAGACAGTGTATTTTTGTTTTGTCTGTATGTTTTTCTATGCTTGGAATGTAAATAGAATGTTAAATAGTATTTGAAAGTTGTATGCATCCTTGCCTCTAGAATCCAAAGTGAATGTATTTTATAATATCTTTCAGGGACCTCTTGTATTCCTAGAGCAAGCCCTCATTCAGTTGGCAACACGAATGCTGTACAAGAAGGGTTTTATTCCACTCTACACACCTTTTTTCATGAGGAAGGAAGCTATGCAAGAAGTAGCTCAATTAAGTCAGTTTGATGAAGAGCTGTATAAGGTCGGTAATGCAATTTACTCTGTTATCTACATTTTTTGTTAGAGAAAGAATGCTGCCTGAGCAGTTGAATATTGAGTACTTTAAAATGAATAGTCATCCTGTCACCCAAGAGGGCTGAAAGGGTTTCTTGTTTTATCTCCCTTTGTCTAAGATGAACTCTCTACTATTCTTGCAGAATGATACAAACTTACACTTCCCAGTTGATGATAATTTGTTATGCTCGGTTTCAGGATTAAATCTCATAGTGTAATGTACTGTTACAATTCTATGACCGGTGAGTTTCTTTATTTAAGGGAAGGAAATTATTCTTTTAGGTTATCGGTAAGGGTGCTGATGAAACAGGTTATGAAGAAAGATACCTAATTGCTACAAGTGAACAGCCAATTGCTGCATTTCATCGCGGTGAATGGATGGCTGCAAATGAACTTCCCAAGAAATATGCTGGATTCTCTTCGTGCTTCAGACAAGAAGCAGGTGCTCATGGGAGGGACACTCGTGGTATTTTTAGGGTACATCAGTTTGAAAAGGTAAATTTGATCCAGAGAAACAATCGCGATTATCTACATATGCCGGCAAAGGGTGTTCTCTGGTTTAAAATCTTGTGAAAAGTAAGTTGGCCTCCAGTCTGAAGCCTTTCAAAACAACAGTGTAAAATTGTAAGGCAGAAAAATCTGTGCAAAAGAATATGCATTACGAAAAACTTTGAATTAAACACTTTATTATCCAACTACACTTCGTAGATCTTCGTCGAGTACAAATATCACGCGGTATTGGTTCTGTAGAGTACTGGTTAAACAGGTTTTCTCCCATAGCACAAGCGAAGAATTGAATTGTAGTTACGAAAAAAAAATGGCGGACAATTTGAATCATATTTCCGACGACGAAGAGTCAGAATGGCTAGCAAATATAGATCCAAGTTTATAAGATAAATCGAACGAAGAAAAACAGCTAGACGACCTGAAAATTTCTTCATTTATTGAAGAAAAAAGAAACAGCAACACGACAACGCGCCAATTCCGTTCCGCTTCGCATACTTCGGTCACGCACTCCCCGTAAATAAATACCCGCGAAATTAGCCCGCACTGAAATAACAGTTTGGCATGTTGGATAATAAATAACTTATTAAACGTTTTGTTGTGTAGTATCGCTGAGTATTTTTACGAGTTGTGCCGTATTTTGACGAGCCTTACGGGCCTTACGGGCTTGTCAAGATACGGCACAACGAGTCCCCAATTAGTGCTATGCGCTAGGTTTTCACGACACAAATAAAGTTCACTACTACTACTACTACTACTACTAACTACAATCTACTTCTTCGCTTGCGCGATGCGAGAAAACCTGTTTAACTGGTACTCTACAATAGACGAGTACAAATACCGCGTGATATTTGTACTCGTCTAGGTGTAGTTGGATAATAATCAGCGATACTACACAACAAAACGTCTAATAAAATATATTTCCTTCAAAGAACAGAATATCGTCCAGGGAACAGGTCGGAGTTATTGTCTGCTTGTTTTGCAGTGTTCCAAGAATCCAGGATTTTGCAAATAAGAATACAAAAGTGCATTTTTCCCACTCTGTAATGAAACTGCTGTTAGAGCTTGAACCCTAACCCCAGCATGCTAACCACTAGAGTCATTGCGAATGGAGGGAAGCAAAAAGAATTGTTTGTATTTTTTTTTTCGATCAGTGTAAATCTAGGAATTTTGTCGAGTTTATGAATATGGCAAACGATCTTTTCACACAATGTATGAGAAAATTTCGAACTTTTAACGGGTGTAATGTTTAAAGATAAAAATGGAATTCGTTTTAAAACATTCAAAAGTCAATACAACTTTTATGAGCTTGGCATTATCAATTTGTCTGTGCCAACCAATCATTCTGTAACGGACGGCAGCATATGCACTCATAGGAACTGAAAGTTTCCTCCACTTCTTGTAGTCACCGGTTTTCAATCCAGAAAAAGATTATATCGTCTTGTTCAATGTAAACGACACTGATCAGAGGTTCTTCAAACACTAAGGCAGTATTAGACTAATCAAAGTCTAAAAAGTCCTCCTCTTTCGTAGCAAAGTGTTATTTGAGTTTGTTTTTGATGGAATTGTATTGTTTTGTGTCAGGTGGAACAATTTGTTATCTGTTCTCCTCATGATGGTGTTTCCTGGAAACTCTTTGATGAGATGATTGCCAGTGCTGAGGAATTTAATCAAGCTCTAGGAATTCCTTACAGAATTGTTAATATTGTTTCTGGTGGGTAAAACCTTTAGTTTTTGTGTTTAATTAGTTTGTACCCGATCTGATCTGTTGTTTTTACCACTGTAGGTGAACTTAACAATGCTGCCGCCATGAAGTACGATCTGGAAGCGTGGTTTCCAGGCAGTGGTGCGTTCCGTGAATTAGTTTCCTGCTCAAACTGCACGGATTACCAAGCAAGAAGATTACAAGTTCGTTTTGGACAGACGAAGAAAATGGGAGCGCAGGTAAACAAACAGGATACGGTCAGAATTCTTGTCCGTGACTTTGAGGAACACTCCTTAGTGTTCAAATGCACCGGTAAAGCAGCGGCTGTGGTTCGCCAGATCCAATGATAATACTCTATGCTTGAATTATTTTGAAGGATCCAAATCGGCGAAGGGAATTTGCTTGCAAACAGGGGAATAGGAGGAAAACGAACGCAATGCTCCTTTCCGCCGTGACAACTTCATCTTCTCTCGTACGCGGCATAGACTGGATCCAACACCGTCACGTTCTCCAGTTCAGAAACCTCCGTATGGCAAAAATAGTGTTTTCGAATCTCTGCACCGAAGAGCGTTTTTGAAAAGATGCGTCGTCAGCGGCGTTTGCTTCAGAAACGTTTGGACTTAAGGCCAAACCAGAGAAAAAAGTGTCCGTCTTCAAACTAAAACGTATGCTTGCGGACGGGGCGTTAGTGAACAAGCCAGTCTTGGTTGTTGTTTTTTTTAGCACTATTATCATCCTCTCTCTTCAGTCTTACGAGGAGCTACTCGGCGTGAGGGGTTGAGGGCTAAAGAGCTACCCTTTGTAGCAATCCCAAGATAGCTCCTAAGCCTTAAATGTAAACAGTTTTTTTTTTCTTTAGACGGAATACGTTCATATGCTCAACGCTACGATGTGTGCTGTGTCGAGAACCATTTGTGCACTGTTGGAGAATTATCAAACAGAAGAGGGAATTGCTCTCCCCCCTGTGCTGAAGCCTTTACTTCCCGAAGGCCTGGACTTTATTAAATTCGTCAAACCAGCTCCAATCGACGAGAAACCAGAGGCGAAGAAACAAAAGAAAAAGACGAAAAATAAAGCGGGCGGCCAGAGTGAGGGATGTTTAGAGGCTAAAATGGAAGACATGAATGTCAGCAAATAGTGAACACTGAATTATTAATAAATCAATCAGCTCTGCTAAGCGAATGGCCTTGTTGCACGATGGCTAGCAGTTGGCTAACAGCTGGCTTAATGTCTGACCTCGTAGTCTGTGCACAAGCAAATTAGTTGGGTACCCCCTCACCTTTATTTTTCTTTCTTTAAACAAACCTTTCAATTTGACTTTAGTTCGAGAGCCTCACACCTGAGAGTTTTGATGTTATACTCACTCTATTAGACCATGGTTCCCTGTCGTCATCAGAATATTTTCCACCATTATATTATTGATAGAAAGCGAACTAGCGACAGCCTGTAGGCAGGTCGGTAGACACTGACCAATCACAGCCGTGATAGCTTAGAGAACTTTTTTGATAGTTGATTACAAGTGTCCTCTTTCGTCAGTTGAGTGTAACATCGTCACTCTCTTCAGAGTAAGTAAACATAAAAATGTTGTTACTAAGGTTATGGCTTGTATAGCAAAAGGTGTAGTGAACTAGACTGCAAAAAAAAAGGAATAAAAATCAAGTGGAAGTTTCATTTTGTGTCTGCTCATTTAGCCGGCAGTTAAACATGCCAGTGGTGAGGTAGAGTCGGTATGTTCTTGCCAAACTCAAGACGGAGCTAAGCTTCGACAATAGTAGCGATTAGTAAAGTTGGATTTGTGTCTGAAGTCGAATTTTTTTCTTACGATGCCAAGTATAACCTGTGAAAGAACCCGAGTGAAGGTCTGAGGAGTTTTCGGCCTTGCCTCGTTGGATTGCTTAGAAAGCTCCTGAAATATCGCAGACTTTCTTATTTACCAACTTACGTACCCAAGAAGGATCACCAATCGAAAGATGGCTGCAGCAATCTGGTACGATACTTGATGGGAGGCTGTCAATGCTTTGATACGGGTTGAAAGTTCGTTCTCTAAGTGTCCTTTGTAACTCGGAAAGTTGAAAGGTCCGAAGAGAACTTCAAATATTAGCCGCTCTATTGACAAATCTCAGATCATCAGTTAGATTGCTTCAGGAGAACTGATTATACTTATCTAAATCCCTCGCACATGCTGTTCCAAATTTCATAGGCAGAATAATTTGGGGTTAGATCTAGGGGTCGCTGTTGGTTCCGAAAGCATTCTAACAACTGCACGTTACAAGCTGCGTCCCCCTTTTCTTAGCAAGTCATCATCATCAAACGTTATTTGACGCACATCATTTTGCCATCTCCACCCGCAAATAGCAAAAGCTAGACAAGGCGGGCGGAGAGGCAAGGTTACAGCAGTCATAACAGATAATATAATAATTGTAAAGTAACTAACTAACTAATAATTGAAAAGTAAGTAAGTAAGCTATCTGGATAAATAAGAATTACTGAAAAACAAGCTAGGGTTACAAAATATATAGTCTTACAGAATAGTATTACAATCAGATTTACTCCCAACAGAACCTATCGATTATTTATAGTACATTGAATTCAAGGACACAGAATTTGCCATTTTTTGTAGGAGAATGGACACTTCAACATAATCGTCCTCGGCTTCCATTATCGAGAGCAAAAAGTCATGAAAATTTTTCTTAAAAGCTCCTTTGGAGAGTTGACGAAATTCGTTAGGAATTGCGTTCCAAAGTTTAACTCCAAACCTGGAAAAAGGATCTTGATTTAGATTCAGTCTTGAAGACGAAGAAAACCTGGTCTCATGCTTGTGCTTTGAATTGCCTTTAGTAAAGAAGTCACAGAGCATCCATGCAGGAAACATCAAGCGCGTATTACGCCGACTTGAAATGTTAAGCACTGGTATCGGTCGATACCTATGCCTTTCGGAAGGCGAACTACATAACTCGTCTCCGTACAGTAGGTGCAGACATTTAGTCAAATAGAAACCTCAGCTATTTTTGGAATCGCTTGACATTTTTTCATTGAAACATGTGATACTTTCAAGAGGTTTCATGGAACCTTCCGGTGGAAACATTCTGCAAAAATTCTGACTTCCGGGCATAAAGTCCATTGACTGGCCTTGACTCGTGACCCAGCCCGACTGCTGGGCATTCAGCCGTAGCGTACTTATTTTAATATCACAATGTGGCCTAATCTAATCTGAAAGAGTGCAACATTCCAAGTTTCTTTCAGTTTGAAATGTCTAGAGGAGACAATTGTAATTTTAACTCGATTTCCCCCTTGTCTTATGTTCGTTATACGCTGTTTGTCTGGACCACTTTCCGGAACCCATGTCCGATATAATTTCACGTGTGATGACTCGTGTCTGCAGTATCCGAGCTCATTACGCAAGAAAGATGCTAGCCAATGGTAGCTAGCAATTTATTGAATAGAGCCATAGACCAATCACAATAGACGTTTGATCAGCATTCCGTCGTGTCACGTTTGCCTGCACGTTGTTTGGAGGAGGTGATTTGGTCACAATGGTCGACTGAATATTTTCGGCAGGTCTAGAGTTATCGCTAAGTTTTTCCGTCGATGTCATGTAGCCGCCATAGTCATAAAGGAATTTGCCAAACGAGCATTACACAGAAAATAGTAGGTAATGACATCGAATATGAACTCCCTTCATTGGTTTAGAAAGGGACTTCGGTTGCACGACAATCCGTCCTTACGGCAGGCAGTAGAAGGTAGTTCCACCTTCAGAGCAGTTTTCTTCCTTGATGTGGACTCCTTGGATGAGATCAACCTATCGAAAAACAAGTGGTTATTCCTCTTGGAATGCTTACTCGATCTTGATAAAAGTTTGAGAAGACTGAACTCGCGTCTCTTTATCGTTCGAGGTCAGCCCATTGATGTCTTTCCGAAGCTAATTAGACAGTGGAACATTACCAGAGTAACGTATGAATATGACAGTGAACCATTCCCTCGGAGAAGGGACGATTCCATAAAGCGCTTATTGGAATCAGAAGGAGTTGAAGTGTTGACGTCAGTATCTCATACGCTGTACGACATTGACGAGTAAGTGTTCGTTTAATTTATTTCATTTTAATTCGATTTTAACCTTCGCAGAGGCTCTTCGGTAACGTTATATTTCTATATTTATTGGCGGAAAGACAAGGCACAATGGGCACTCGTGTGTCACAATTGAGCCTTGTTACACAAGAGTATAGGAGTGAGGACCCTTGTCAGGGTTTTCTAATTATTACCGAAACAATCAGGGCGAAGAGAGGCGCGCTGAAGCTAAATATTGCGAGAAGGCAATTACCAGGAATATTAGTCAGGTAATGATTTCTTGAAGTACTACTAGAAAGTTTATCAATTGAAAGACTGATCAGATACACAGGTAGCAGGGTTAGGAGCTGGCGGGATGCTCTGGTAATATGGGGCAGGAGCTGATTGGAGGCACAGGTAGTGGGATTAGGAGCTGGTTAGAGGCACAGGTAGCGGGGAGAGTAAGTGCTTTATAGATTTGTACCCATAATTGTTTAAAAGGAACTTCTTTTTAACAGCAGAGTGCTTATGATAACCTATTGTGCAGCCCAAGCAAACTTTTGTGGGAGCTCAAGTCATTTTCACAAGAGTTTATTATGGTTTGATCCTCCTTGTCCCTCTACTATCCATCCATCACTTAAAAATAAGATGAATAAAGGCTGATAGTTTCGAAAGAAACTGTTTGGGGCTGCGTCAGTGGGAGTAATGAAGTAATTTGGATATATCACCAAAGTTGAAATGGTAAATTGGCCACCGTAATGATTACAAAAGCTGACGTTTCGAGCGCTAGCCCTTCGTCAAAGCGAATAGAGGAATTGTGGGTTGTGTGTGCTTTTAAAGGCAGAAAATGGAGCTACGTTATTGGTGGGAGCATGGCAACGAGAAAATCATGAATAAATTAGTGGAATGAAAAGCGTTCGTTGATCCCTGTGGGATTTAGACTGCCGATTTGAAAGATGAGCTTTTGTTCAAGATTTTTACGGCTTTCCGTGCCACCTAAGTGCAAGGAAAGACGACAAATTGCCATATGTTGCTTAGAATGATTAGGTAGAAAATTTAAAAATAAGAGACTGGCCTGAATTCCATGGAGACAAAGAGATAGAGTTGAATAAACAGTTTCCATCTCCAAGAGCCTTACAAGCAATCAGCCCTTTGAGAGCAGTGCATCTCTTGGAATCAACGATCGTGCCCAAAGTTCTTGCTGCTCCTCCCCCTATCTCTGGAAGGACTGATTTAGTCTTAGTAGTTGGGAATGTTTTGTCTCGAAACAAGAGCATAAATCAGGCATGTTGGGTGTATTAGTTATCAGGACCTCTTTCAATTCCTTAAAGTCAGTTATCTGAAATTATAAAGAATGAATAATTGCAAAAAGTTCATAAAACTCTGCTGCCCACTTCCAGCAAGCCTGGGTTGAATGCAATACCATGGACCAAAAATGCTTATACAGCCAATCACTTACGCTTAAACTGTTGGATTATTTCCCTGGTTACTTGATAGATTGATACTTTCAACCACAAAATTATTGGACAAACAATTATGAATTGAAATTTTACTGCACTAAAGTAAACCAAGAGATGCTACCCAAACAAATTCATAATTTTAAATTGATATCCCACTTATATTATATATATTTCTTGATCAAGACAAGCATGGGGAATTAAAGGTTCATGAAATTGTGATGAAAAAAAAAAACAAAACAAAAAACCTGAATGCTTACCTGTGATGAGAAAACCATGGTATTAACAGGGTTTTCATTCACTTTTGAAATGGAAGGGCAATGCCTTGTGAGTGGGCAGGTACCCTATTAAAATTGAGGGCAGAAAGCCTGAACCTCAAGGGGGTCTGGGGAAATTTTTAAAACTCAAGCTGCCCAGGAGTGCATTTTCCTGCAATCTGGAAAATAAATTTTTCTGCATGATGCATACTTCATCTAGTTTTAGAAAAAGAAAACAAAAAATGGTACTCTGGGAGAATTTGATTTTATTAATACACATCCATAGCTACATCAAAACAATACTGTTTTTTTTTTATAATCTCGTTACAGTTGCAAATGAACTCAAACTTATAAACTTGTTGAGAGAGAAACTGACGACAATTTTAAAGTTTATGAAAACTCAAAGTCAGAGCTGTAATCAGGAAACAAACATCAGATAAAATAATTGGGAAGTTTGAGAAATTGTAAAATTCTGGTTCTGGACCGAGGGAAGAAAATTACTCAGTCTGAGTTATCAGGAGTTTTGAAATATTGATGGTTCTACACAGCAGGATTCTACTAATAAAATTCTTGGCACCTATAGAGGTTTTGCACAGCAGCCATGTTGGATGGCAGGAACAATGAAAATATTTTGCATAAGAAAGAAATTTTTTTCCCATGGGTAAAATGATCTATTGTTCCTGCCATCCAACATGGCTGCTGTGCAAAACCTCTATAGGTGCCAAGAATTTTANCGTTAAAGGCCCATTTTCAACCGAGATGCCTTGCGCGCCCAGATCATTTTTCATATATGAAAAATACGCTATTTTCCTCGAAGTTGCGGAATCGCTTTGATATCTTCTTCCATCTTACTAATTAGGGCTTTCAAAGTTCCATCTTGAATCATGTGCGAACAACAAACTATCGTAGTATCCATATCAGTAAATAGTTTTTAATTCTTACATGTATGACGGTGAAAAACGTCATTTGAAAAGTTGATGCCGCCGAAGAAGCGGTCTAGAGGAAGGCCGGGTCTGCCCGGCTCGGCAAAGGTTATTCGACTTCGAGAGTCTGTGTATGATTTATGGAGGGCAAGGAAAACAACAATGGGTTTCGGTAACACTACAGACAGTGCTTTTGCAGAAATGTTATTGCATTGTTCCTACGATGGAACTAGAGACTCCGGGGAGATTTTTTCGAGGTGAGAATAATTATTTGACTGATTTTTACTTGAGATCCTGAGATATGTATGTAAGCGATCTCATTTGTACAAGTCATTATTCTATAATTGAAATGCGTAAAGTAAATCAGTTTTGGCCAATATTGGTTATTTGTTTATATTTTATTTAGTGTTGAAGCGGAAAATTTCCTTCAGCATCAAGTAAGCTTTGTAGAAGTTTTATACACAGCCTCGATTTATGATTTTTCAGCCTCAAATATTTAGCTGCAAATTTGTTTACTGTGTTCTTCACCAAATCTTTGTTTTTCTTTTCAATAGTGTTTGTGAATGACTATCAGAGTTCGCCATTTAACAATAGCGCGATTCCAAAACAAAAACAAACAACTGCAAAGGATCTCGGATGAAAATGGGCCTTTAACATTTTTTAATGCTTTTCTTGGCTTTATCTTGAATGAAAACAAAATAGCTCTTATTCCAGATCCACATGCGCAGTTTAGTTGGACAGCGGTTTCCAGTATTAGCGTACACAAAAGAGAGGCTCTCGGGTCAAGCACCTCTGAAGACTACTAGAAGAAGTATATAAAAAGTTAAGACCTGAAGGTTTTTGTAAAACATGGAAGCTATCAGGCAAACATTCACAACGAAAGTGTGTTCTATCATTGTCACACGGTATTTCAATTTTTTGCACAGGACCATATGTGACCGGGCACAGGATTTCGTACACTAACACTTTACCGTTTAACGAAATAATCCGTTTATTATCCATTTAAAACGGATCATCAAAGCACTTAAATGCTTTCTTCATCCCTTTAAACGCTTTGCTCATCCGTTTAATGTTTTCGACAAAACGTTTAAATGGTCAACCTATCCGTTTAAAAAGAAAATCCATCCGTTTAACAGTTACTTGCATCTGTTTAATGTTTTTGAAGAGCAATGGTATAAAACAGTCCCAAGAAGCATCCGTTGAAAATCAATCATGTTTCGATCAAGCAGCTATGTTGGTCTTTGCTACAACTTACTGTTTGCAAATCTCTGGTATGAGAAGGTATTCGATTAGAAGAATCCTCAATCAGATATTGAGACACAAGAGCTCACATTACCTTACGAAAACAGAATGATATTCGTTAAGTAACATGAGAAGAGCGAGATTTGTTTTCATGCTTTTGCAAACTTATTTCGATAGACGTGTACAGCAAAATTATTTACCGAATCAGTGGCTATCGGGTTTCTCATCTTTTATTTCCATCGATTGAAAGGAAATGAAAATGGGTTTATAAAAGCTATAATTACAAATTACTTTACGAAATCAAACGCTAGATGAAACATGAGCGAAAGAAAGTTGCATATGCAAACTTGTTTTGATTGTGAACCGAAGGTGAAATCTACAAAATCGGCGGCTATTTTTACCTACATAGAATCCATTTCTTAACATTTTTCACTTGATGGTGCGATTTCATTTCGGTCAATATGTAGAAGAAACAATGTAGGAACATGAAAAAAAGACTTTGCTTCTCAATTCTAAGTTTTTTTCTGTCAAGAGTGTTCAGTCCACGTGGTATGATTGTCAGATTGCTTCTTCTGCTTATATTTTATGCAAATTTTCAAACGCATTGTGAGCTCTCCAGAGCGAGACTCGCTCTTGGCTCGCTTTACTCGCCAGTGGTAGCTTAATTTAATTTTACTTCGTTTTCTATTGGTGTCAGTCGAATATAATATTAGCATGAAACGTCAGTGTTCTACAAGAACAATTCGTATAATTCGCAATGGTTTCTGTTATGTGCATTATTAGCTTATCCCGCTGTTCTTTAGCCCTTCTGATTCGTTCGAGGTTTTTGTCTATCCGTTTAATGTTTTAAGTTATCCATTAATAGATTCTGTTCAACCGTTTAACATTTTAAGCCATCAGTTTATTTTTTTTCTCGGCTGTTTAACGGTTTACGGAATCCGTTTTTGGACTTTGCTCTACTGTTTAACACTTTGGACTATCCGTTTAAATGGAAAGGCAAACCGTTTAAACAGTCTTACTTCTCATTTATTGTCTGTTTACAAACCATTTATTTTCAATCGTTTAACGAAAAAGCATTAGTGTACAAAATCCTGTGCCCGATCACATATCTTAATAAGGCAAATGCTTCATTGTTTACGTTCTTATAGTCTTTATTTGTTTCGTCATCTTGAGCTTTTCTTTCAATGAAATAGCAGACAACATTTTGCCAACTACAAACAGGGAGTTTGTCTCCCCAGTTACCAGTGATGACCATTCTGGACAATCAGGAAGACCACTGCTATTAACAGCTGTGGTGGTAGTAGTTGTTTTTGTTTACACTGTTCACTTGTTTACATGCCAAGCTAAGTGCTACCACTTTTCATGAAAATTGTCTTCCCATTTATTCTTGATGTAGTTCATAATCCTGTTGAAAAGAAAAGGTACACAGACATTAAGATTTGGAAATAATTTGTCTTCAGGATAAAAATACCAAAATTTAAAAAAACATTATGAACTCACCTTTGAGCTAGTACAGGTTTTGAAGCTGTAGCTCAAGCACATCCATCTTTGGCAGTTCCTTTCCAATTTGAAAGCCACTCCTTCAGCCTTTTTTTCATAAAATCACCTAAAAATTACCGCCTGATATTTTCACTCTCTGTTTGGCTGATAAAAACACTGATTTTGTAAAAAATTTAACATTTTTGACACTCATACTTATAATTGACTATGCAAGTCTTGTAATCTTCAGGGAAGCTTGACCTGATGGCCTTGCTCTTGTGTACAGTACTATAGGGAACTGCTGTCCAACTAAACCACGCTCACAGAACTGGAATAGGAGCTATTGGAACAAAGTTTCTTTCAAGTTTCATTCACTTGTGTGGAATATTTAAGATTTGCAAACCAAGAAAATGTTGGGATTGTATTTGCTGATAAGCATCTTTTATGGGGACATTCTACTCTTGTTTATTTCACATTTTGAATTATACTTCAGACAAAGTGTTCAATGAACAGTTTAAGGAATGGAAAGCATAGAACGGATTGTAACTGCATGTAATTTTTCAAAAAACAAAGAGAACCATTCCACCAAATCCAATTAAAACTAGAAAACATAAATTTAATTTCCTGGGTCATTGCACTTTACCTTTCACATGCAAATGAGTGCTTGTGCATTTCTCTCAAAGGAATATGTAAACAATGCAAGATTGATAAAATGCTAAAAACTAGCCTTTTGATCTCTTGTCTGTAAATGACAAAAAAGAATCCAGGACACCTTGAGTTTTTCTTTTGCTTGCCATGATAACTCCACAGAAGGCATTTGCTTTAAACATGTGGTGCATCACGTGCAAGAGTTATGTAATAGCTGATCAGGAGTTATGTAATACAGGGGTTTCATTAATTTTTTCAGCAGGAGGGAAACTGGTTTTCACAGGCGGGCAAAACTTTTTTAACTAAACTTTTTTCTAAGATAAACCTTCCTCCAGATTGTTAAACCAGGTGGGGGTAACTGTCCTTACAGCCGGTCAATTTGGCCGGTGCCCGGCCCTTAATGAAACCCCTGTGTAATAGCTGATCAGGCACTTCAAGAACTCAATTAATGGTATGGGGTTTAAAGCCCTCAGCCCAGACCACCCCTGAAAATCCAGACAAAATGACTGTCAAATTAAAAAAAATGACATGGTCCAAACAAATTTACCATTTCATGTCTTGGTTTTACTGTTCTGTAGTGAAACTTTAAAACATGATTGCCAATACAATAAAGAATTACTTAGACTACTTAATTAAATCCTGAAGATGTATGTTATGCATTTTAAAAAAAATATTAAAGCATGGTCATCAAGTAAATAAAGTGACCATCACTGTACAACCTACCATATACAAAGGAATGAAAATATCTTAAAACCACAGTAAGTCTCAATTCCTGCTCTTAACTCGGCAGAAATGCAAACAAAAAGAATCAGTCAAAAAACTTTTGCATTAAAACAGGCCATCTCATGGGTAAGAGCGAGAAATTCGTAAGTTTTCTTGCACAGATCAAATTTGAATTTACCGCCATTGCTGACATCAGTGAACGTCACGAGGTAAAAAATAACTGGAAGTTACAAGTTACGCCTACACAGACCTGGCAGAAAATTGCCTATGGAACTGTTGAAGAATGAAATAACTATCGATTGAATAGAACCCTTTCAGTTAGAAGATTACGAACAATGCTTGGATTATACCAAACAAAGAAAGTTGTTTTTATCTTTGACCAGTTTGCAACTCGCAATGTGAATGTGAAATGAAATTGGGCTTTACGGTCTATCTAATACAACGCTCTAATGAATGAAAAAAAAAAAACTAGGGTACAATTTAAGAGCTAAGGTTAAGTGTTTTTTAAGTGTTAATTTCCTCTGTGCCATTTAGAAAAGCAGGAGAGTTCGCTACGCATTTGCTGACAAAAGGCAATGCTGCCTTGCTCACAAGCATATGCCTCGAAGGTGTGTCCATCACTTCTTTTTCTCCCATAGTCGATGAAAAGATTAAGGAAATCTTTTGATGTTGCACCCTCGCCGAGATCTTTTGTCTGGCCATGAGGAATGGTAAACTCTTCGATGTCGATTTCACTCAGTGTGTTTGACCATTGAACCCCAATGGAAGGCATATCTTCGTTGTCGCTATCTTCATCATCATCATCTTTGCTAGTGAAAATTTGGACATCGGAGTTTGTTCCCCTTAAGTGCTCGCTAAAATCAAAGGTCTCGATTTTTTGATCACCATCTCGCAGAGAGTTTTCTTGTAGCCTTCTCTGTCGTTCTTGTCAAATTTCAGCTACTACTTCGAGAGAAAAAAGAGGAAAGATTTCTTCTTTATCAGAAGAACGCCAAGTATCATCAAATCTGCGAGAAGCCATGCTAAAGTACTGAACGCTATTCAAAAATTCGCTAAAAATCACACACAAATCACAGAAGGAAAAACATAACATTAAATGAAAGGTTAATTTATGCAGGTCATGTTCAGATATATTTCAATATCCAGGGGACTAAGGTCTCTTAGCCACAGCCAATAAAAACGAGTCATATCTGACAGGGGGCATGAGGGCGTACTGGATTTTCAGAGGGGTTTTATTTCCAGGTGCATGAGGGTGCACCGGATGTCAATGGGTTAACAGGCAGCAGTGCCTTTCTCGTCAAAGTTCATTTTATTTCCACAATCGAATGGCAAGTAATCGATAAATAAGTGCAGAAAAAGGTTTTAACTTACAGGGAGGAGTAAATATTTAGTGGAGATTGATAATATTTTCTTGACAATTTTTTTTTATTTTTTTTTTTATACTGGAAGTAGCTGGGTGCTCTGTCTAAAGTAGACAGGGGCTGGTACCTGGGATGCAGCTTCTAATAAAAACCCTATGTTGATCAGGTTGGGATTACTGTGCATGCGAACTATAATGTGTTTTTTTACACAATTGCCCAAACAGAATTTTGTACGGCGCCCTTATGGGCTCCTACTTCCGAGATTTAGTCACCCCAGTGTGAAACTCAGGCACCCGTTAGGCAGCAGACTTGATCACAGTAGCTTGTATGAAACACAGACAGGCTGTGATTCCAGTGCAATGAACAGGAGATGTGCTTACTGTTTAGCTGTGTGGAATTTGAGTGCCAGTTGTTTGGAGACTCTTTGCATTGCCCGCTAGAAGGATTGATGAGTGTTCATGCACATATAGAGTTTGATTGTAAGCCACTTCTGTTTAGAGTTATACCTCCCCTCCACACACGCACGCACGTAGGAAATGTATCGCTTATCTAATTTTTTTTTACAGAGTCATAAAGTCGAATCATGGGAATGTTCCAGTTACATTCAAGCAGTTTGAATGCTTAGTAAGTAAGCTGAATAGTCCAAGCAACTGTGCACTAGTTGTTGATGAGCAGCTGTTCAAGAACTGTAAGACACCAGTGGAAGATGATGATGATGAAACCTATGGTGTGCCGGAATATGATGCACTTGATTTTGGTGAGGAAGAAGCTGAACCCAGACAGTTTGTTGGGGGAGAGACTGAAGCTTTGAAAAGACTTGCTGTTCTTGAAAAGGAGGTTGGCAAAAGTTTCTTTCTGCTGAATGTGTTCTTAAGGGAGATGTCCTCTCTTGAAACTATACAGTTCTTGTCATGGGCATTAAAAAGGTTGTTTTGAATGTTTTTTTTTTTTTGCCTATGGAATGCTAAGTCTCATTCCTCTTTTTTCCATCCATTATGTTTGCATTGTGACAGGTAGCAGAACCCACATTGGGCAAACCGCATCATGAGTCCAATTCTCCATTTCCTAAGTCGTCAAAGTTGAGTCCATACTTGAGATTTGGTTGTCTGTCAGTGAGACACCTTTTTCATAGAATGAACCAAGTCTACAGAGAGGTTTGTGATTGATTTTTGGCAACATTCCTTTGCAACAGTTGTTGTGATCTTAAAATACAGTAGAACCTTGATTTAATGAACCTCTATATAACAAAGTCCACCGTATAATGAAAGATATTTTTCAGCCTGGCTGTAGTTACAGTAGAATGTATGCTACACACTGAAATAACAATTTGGCCTGCTGGCTAACAAATCTCTTTTAAACGTTTTGTTGGGTAGTATCATTGAGTATTTTTAATTTTTTTTTTGTATTTTGACTCACCCTACGAGCTCTTGAAGAATACAGCATAACTCTTAAAAATACTCAGCAATACCACAAAACAACTACTAAGATATATCTATTAACCAAACCTTGATATAATGAACATTTTGGTTGTTTTCCACAAATTTGTTAAATCAAGGTTTTTGATATAACAAAACCTCAATATTACAAACCAATTTCCCTAGTCCCTTGGGGCTTCATGAAATTCAGGTTCCACTATCATTCAAAAATGTTCTATGATGTCTATATAAAATTTGTGTACTCTGCAACCTGTACATTGGTCGAATGCTGATAATTACAAATCACTTGCTCCCGACACATGGTTGCCTGTGAATGGCATCCATGTTGCGTGACTTGTCTCTGATATGAATCACATGTTTTTACAGATGCAATATGACAGTCACTTTGTCACTGGCGGAGACTTATGAAGGGTTTTCTAATACCTCATTCACACCAGGGAACACGTTTACTTAAACTGGGTCTTACTGAAATTTCCGTAAGATACAAGCAATTGCTAACTTGTATTTTGTATGTGCTAAATTTGAAGCGAACAAACAGTGGTTTATACAGTCTTGAGGAAAATGAAAACTTTCAACTGTATTTATCTAAACAGCTTTAACAAATGTTTAAGCTTTGGTGTAAATGGGTTATAAGATCATCAGAATGATTACTGATGTATTTGCAAGTTTTGAAGGATTCCTTTTTAATATTCTTTGATTGCATTGCAGGCTAATGGAAGATCAGCCCCAATGTCAGTTCATTTGCCTTTACTGTGGCGAGAATTTTATTTTGTTGTGGCTAGTAAGCATCCCAATTTTGACAAGATGAAGAACAATTCACTTTGCTTACAGTTTCCTTGGGAGGAGCAGACTTGTAAACTGGAGAAGTTCAGACAGGTGAACTGCAAGGGTTATTTATCAGATGCTGTAATACTCTCTGCATTCCATTTACTTGTAGTGAAAACAGGAATATGTGATAAATGGATTGTATCTAGATGTGTAGAGCTTTGATTGCGATGAAAATACAATTTTCAGATTAATGGTTATTAATTTGTACTGTTACCTAAGGAAAGATGTTGCCCAATGATTTGATGGCAAGATCTTTAATCTTTTTTCATTGTCCAGGGCAAAACTGGATTCCCATGGATAGATGCAATGATGCGTCACATGCTATCAGAGGGATGGATTCCTCACCTAGCCCGTCAAGCTGTGGGGTGTTTTTTAACCAGAGGAGCTCTCTGGATATGCTGGGAAGAAGGATTTAAAGTATGTCTTGATGAAAAGTACATAATTGACTCAAGCAATGAGCTTCTGCACAAACCAGAAAAAACAGTTGTTCATGAACTTCCCCTTTATGGTTCCCTCTCTTGGGTTTGAACTCTGGCTTGGACATAATTTGGAGGAAAAAAACTGAATATTTCTTCTTAAAAACTATTCTAGGTGGAACATGGCAACTCTTTCATTTATTATATTGAATTACCTTTTTCTGCAGATATTTGAGAAGTACATGCTTGATGCTGAGTGGAGTATAAATGCTGGAAGCTGGATGTGGCTGTCATGCAGTGCATTCTTTGCTAAACATCCTCAGTGGACATGCCCAGTTGGGCTAGGAAAACATTTGGATCCACAGGGCAACTATGTGAGGTACATACTCCTGAATAGTTAAAAAAAAAATTAAAAACCACTACCAAATGCTTTGGCAAAAAACTGATGTGGAATGTTCTGAAGTAGTTTCACAGTGCCTTTCCACCCCCACCCCTCTGAAATAACTTTTGCAAGGTTTGCATGCCAACTTTTTCAACCAGGCAAGCTAGGCTTCTCAGAAGCATATTATGCAGTAATGCTGCCGGAATAGCATTAATCTTGTTCTCTTCTTCACCTTGTCTTTTTAAGGAAATACGTCCCAGAGTTAAAGGATTTTCCATCAGAGTATATCTATGAACCATGGGATGCACCACTTGAATTACAGGAGGCATGTAACTGTGTTATTGGTACTGATTATCCACAACCCATAGTCAATCATCAACAAGCTCGCAAAAATTGTGTTGATAGGTTGAGAGGGGTATATCAGAATCTTGTAACAAAGGGTAAGTTGTCTTTAAAGTTGTGGAAGTAAATAAATCATACATAGTAAAATACACTTAAGCAATCCAGACATGTCAATGATTTTCTCTTCTCTTCTCTTCTCTTTTTGTAGTCTCTTGTAATGTTGGATTGGGCCATAATGCTATGCACTGGTTCCGAAAGGATTTGAGGCTCCATGACAATCCCTCACTCTGTGAAGCTCTAACAAATTGTAGAACATTTCATGCAGTGTATATTCTGGATCCTGTGAGTGCAAGAGCTGCAAAAGTTTCTGCCAACCGCTGGAAATTTCTTGTGGACTGTCTACGTGATCTGGACAAGAGTTTGCGAGAGTGTGGATCAAGACTTCATGTCATTCGTGGCCAGCCAACATACGTGTTACCTAAACTTTTCCAAGACTGGAATATTTCAAAACTGACATTTGAATGTGAAATTGAGCCATTTGGACAACGACGAGATGTGGCTGTGGCTGTTCTTGGAGAAGAGCATGGAGTAGAAGTTATTTCTAAGCCTTCTCATACCCTGTATGACCCTGAAAAAATAATTGAAAGTAATGAGGGTGAGGCACCCATGTTAATAAAAACATTTGAAAATGTTATCCGTCAAATGGGCCCTCCAGAGAAACCTGTTGATGCCGTGAACAAGGAAATGTTCAAAGGGTGTATTTGTCCGGTCTCAAATGATCACAGCACAAGGTTTGGTATTCCAAGCTTAGATGAACTTGGTTACAGAGGGTGTGAAGTCACCACAGGGGATTTGTGGGTTGGTGGAGAACAAGAGGCCATTAAAAGGTTAACAGAACTTGAAGAGAAGGTAAAGAGTGAATTAGGAATTATTTCATATTTACTCAATTTTGAATTGTTTGTCCCATCTTAGTATTGCAATGATTTTAGTTTCTACTTTCTGAAATGAAAGTGTTCAACTTCCTTTTGTACTCATCACCAAGCTGTAAGTGCAGCAAAACAATCACATGCAGCCCACTTGGGCAAATGTAGATCCCTATGCGTGTTCATGCAGAATCTTGGAACATGTACATGTCCTAGCATTTTTGTCTGCAAGGATCTCCAGAGTTCATTGCTGAGGACACTTCATGACATGTATAATTAGCTTACTTTGTCTTCTCAAACAGCAGAATAAGAACATTGATTAGTCATCTTACCTCCACTTGACATGTTTTGTGACAGGTGTTGGAAGGCAGTTTGAAGAAATCCGTGGAAGGGCTAGATGCACTTAGGCCATCCAGGACACAGTTGAGTCCTTACCTTCGCTTCGGTTGTCTTTCTCCTAGGCTTTTTCATTTGAGGCTTACAAAAGCCTACATGAAGGTAAGTTTAAATTGCCATGGGCTAACCTGTTGCTCGTACATCGAAAATCGCCATTAAATTACCCCTTCTGTTTTTATGGTTGTTAGTGGTTTAGGTGTTTGAATTTCATAGGGTTCTTCTGAATATGTACATGCCATTGATAAAGTTAAATGGTTAAAATGTACATTTCTGTTACTATGCCGATGTTGTCTGCTGATGTTCCTAGTTCCCTTCCTTATGTTCAAACTAACACTGTTGTTGCTGCAAGTAGAATATGTGTAATCAAAGCAGTTGGGTCAAGGGCATCTGTAATTTTTTTTTTTTTTTTTAATTTGTAGGTGAAATGCCAGCCACCACCATTATCGCTCTACAGGCAGTTAGTTTGGAGAGAGTTTTTCTTTACGCTTGCCAGTCGAAATCCTCAAATGGACAGGGCAGTGGACAATCCACTTTCCTTTAACATCCCTTGGGAGGAAAACCAAGATGCACTTGATGCATGGAAAGAGGTACAGTGAATCAGAATCCGAGTATCATGTTTACCTTTTGTGGCTTCTGCCTCCTATTGGAGGCAAAGCCACATATCTTGTCAAGATGAGTGAGAATTCCGATCTTGACTCAATTTTGACCCAATGCTTCCCAGTGGAATATTTAGGTGTTTCAACATTCACACTTGATACACATGAGTTCTCTCCTTTTAAAATCAGGGTTGTTGCTAAGCACTGGCTGCCAGCGAAATTTGCCAGATGAAAAAGCGGCAATTGCAAGCCATATGTTCGGCCAGCAATCACTTGGTTAGGCACAATGGGGACTTCCGAGAATACACGCTTAAAATCGTTCACCAACTATAAGCGACCTCACTTGCAATATTAGCTGGCAGCGTAATTTCTTAACTACAACCCTGTATAGTATTTAGATTATAGCACTTAGCACATTAATTCTTTTCATGACACTATGGAAAACAGCAGAAAATGATGAACATCTTGCAATCATTTCAGGATTGTGCACAATTCAAAACAGAAGTTTTCCTTGTTGAAATATTTTAACAAGTGTGATTGGTGGTTAAGGTTGAAGGATTTTCATAAGAGATTTTGCTGAATGTTCAATACCTTTAATTGTGTGTGTAGGTTAATGGTGCCACGCATTGCCAGTCAATGGAATTTTGGTTGGTCTGGCTGATTTGATCACATGCATTGATCTCAGGTTTTTTTTTATATTCGCCTGTTGTTAACGGTCTACCACCCTCTGTGTAGCCCCGCAAGAAGGCTCCTGTGTTTGGGTTTCACCTTGCAGCCCCTTTTTGGGCACAGCCAGCTTTTACACATAGGCAGCCGTTTGTGGAAAGATGTTATGGAGACCTCTGATGAATCAAAACAATAATTGGTAATCTGCTCTTACCCTAGGGGCTAGGTCACTGGAAACCATTTTAAGACTGAGAAATTAAGCTTACTTTCTTTACGCTAGGGCCATACAGGTTTCCCATGGATTGATGCAATCATGCGTCAGCTTCATGCTGAAGGGTGGATCCACCATGTGGCTCGACAAGCTGTTGGATGTTTCCTGACAAGGGGATGTCTTTGGATTAGTTGGGAGGAAGGATTTAAGGTACAGCTGTGAATTTCGTGTTGTTGATATTGGGTAGCCCAAAAAAAGTTTTATGTGAAGTTGATAGCCTGAAGTGAATGTGAATCGTAAATTGATATGGTATTTTGGGCTTTTGCAAATGTAGATGATGCTTCCTGAGGTAATGTGGAGGGGTTCTATACCACAACACCTTAAACTAAATTGAACAAACACTTCATCACCACAAGGAATATTATTAACACAGTGACACCGCGATATTAAAAAGTCTCAGGATTTACCTGGTCTGGTTTCAATCATCCTTACCAAGCACTAGTCTTTGGTAGGTCGATAATGCGGGTAAGAGAGGTCCGGAGGTCAAGTAATATGTTGACGAACACGGCCAGGGGTTAATCAGCTTTAGAACATAGCTAGCAGAACCGCGCAATCAAATTCAATATTTGTAAGCGTGCTCAAAATCCCGATAGTGCACGCTGACAGCGTCAGCAAATCGCTCCGCCAGAAATTTTTTTTTCGCGCGAGCGGCCGATTGTTAGCGCGGGAAAAATAATATATTTCGCTGTGCACTATCGAGTTATGGAGCACGTGGGAAGTTTGGAGAGCACTCAAGAAGCTAGAGTTGCCCTCGGCTATCGCCTCGGACAACTCTTACGCTTCCTTCGTGCTCTCCAAACTTCCCGCGTGCTCCATAACTCGATAGTGCACGCTAAAGCATGAACCAATTGTTAAGTTAAACTCGGATGTATTCCTTGTTTTGTTAACCACAGGTTTTAAAATGTAGTTTTTAAAAAGGTTAAAGAAAAAAATGCAACACCGGAAATGGTTTATTTCACCGAATGCCGTCGATTTGAAACTATAAATATCATTTACCGTAAGGTTTGAGATCACCGCAACACTGCAATGCGAGTTGTTCGTCACCGCGAAATCACAGTAAAAAAGGGTCAACACCGCAAGCCCAATGCCCTCCTCCCAACTCAAAATAATTATTTGCTTATGAGTGGCTCATATCTTCGTAGTATTATGCAATCAATTCAAAAGGTTTGTTTTCTTTTGAAGTTGTTTGAACAGCTTCAGTTGGATTCAGAATGGAGCTTGAATGCTGGCAACTGGTTATGGGTGTCATGCAGTGCATTCTTTCATGGACAGATTCCGTGGTATTGTCCCGTCAATGTTGGTAAGAAGCTTGATCCCTCTGGAAATTTCATAAGGTAACGTCGCTCTTCTTTCATTTTGCATTTCCGAGACCCTATACACCCGATTGCAAAAAATGTTAACCCTTGTAAGCGTGAGCAACGAACGGTGAGACCCAACCGGCTTTATGGGTGCACACGTACTAATAACCACAATTAGTGGCACGCTTTCCTGAAAGAAGAGAACTATCGTAAACAAAGATTTTCGTGAATGATAGAAAAGCAAAGATTGAATTGTGACTGAAAACATTTCCCTTATAGTCACTGGATCTCATCGTTCTTGGATCATGTTGTTCAGGTGTCGACGTTTTTGCAATCGAGTATATAACGGAAACTTAGCCTGATGAGTGCTTGATCTGTACTCTTTTGCTAGCTAATGTTTTTACAGCTTTTAACGGTATGGATAAGTTATGGTGACTCCCCATTTCTCTTACAATGGAGGAAAAAAAATTTAGGACGAAAACTTTAAACAGATGCTAATAAAAACATTGAAATTAGTCACCAAAGTTAAGTCTAGAGAAAGAATTTTGCTCGAAGCCTAAGAGAAAACACCCTGTATTTTGCAACTGAAATAGTTCAGGAAAAAATTGATAACATTTTCCATCCTGTCAATTTTGGTATAGCATATGTGCATATGAAGTGTGTAGTCCTGGCATCCCTGTCCAACACGCCAGCGTATTAATTAAGCTGAGAAAACTAAATTTGATCAATTCCTATTGGTTATCTTAACAGGCGATACGTCCCTGAACTGAAGACCATGCCCACAAAGTACATTCACGAGCCTTGGATGGCACCCTTAGCCGTTCAGAAAGCTAGTAACTGCATTGTCGGCCAAGATTACCCAGACCGCCTCTGTGACCACATCGAGAGACGGAAAATTTGTCTTGAACGTCTCAAGGATGTTTGCCAACAGATACAGGGCACCAACTCGTCATCACAGGATACTGCTGACGTCGTTGATTAATATCTAGTTAATGATTCCTAACACAACTGTTACAGTTTAGATTCCCCTGAGTATCAGTGGTGTTTTCTGTTCAGTTGTTGTTGTTTTTATTTATTCGGAACGAAGAACTAGTGACTACTCGACTCAAAAAGGAAAAAATCGCCAACACTCTAGAGACAAAAAGGGGAATTCTTTCGATATGGGACTTAGTTTTGACTACTTGATCTGCAACTAAGAGACAATTTGTCAGAACCCTTACAATCAAAGGTTTTCGAAACTGTAGCATATTTGTACTATAATGATTCAAACAGCACATCTAATGTATGAATTTAAGAAGCTTATGTACAGCATTCAAGGATGTAATGTAGACTGACCCCACCCATATGAAAAGGTGTTCACGTTGACTTGTAAATATTCAATTCGTGCCAATGAAACTTAATATAATTCACGGACCTCGGCACTATTTTACTGGTTACTAACCATCTTAGCGGTTGTAGACTACTTTAGTGTCAAAATGTATGAGCGACACATTTGGAAAGTGACCGTTTTGTGGCACAAACATAATATTTTTCACCTTGATGGAAAACCGGTGTACGATAAGTTATGTTCTTTTAACCTAAGCTCTTAATAAGGTGTTGGTGCCGGTTCATTATCCAGTTTTAACTTTATCAGGCTGTCTAATAACACAAACTGTACTGTTGTTAACATCCAGCCTAAACAATTGAATATAAAACGGTTATTATTCAGTATTCGCAAATTTGGGAAACTGATTCAATGCGCGCACGTCCCTGTTATAAACCCAGTTTTAAACAATGTGGAGGGCTCCGACGTTATAAACCCAGTTTTAAACAATGTGGAGGGTTCCGACGTTATAAACCCAGTTTTAAACAATGTGGAGGGCTCCGACGTTATAAACCCAGTTTTAAACAATGTGAAGGGCTCCGAGGACGAAGCGGAGAAATACAAGCCTCCGGAAAAATGGCAGAAATTAGCCAAAACCCGAGGAGGCATCCTAAGAGTACCGAGCGTAGTGAGGTCCGCGCCCCCTGACCGAGGCAAAATATCATTTATCATCTGTGAGCATCCTGTACACGGGGTCAGCTCAAGTGATAGCCATTATTACCTGTAGGCTAATTTATATCATATTTGACTTAAATTGAGTCATTTGTAATAACCTCTGTATCAGGCCTGCTACCAAAAGGAAAACATAGTTGTTGGTTAGTCGTTGCCAAAAAAGAAAAAAATTCTGGAGTTGTCCATGATTTAAACAAACAAACAAAAAAATTATTCTAGAGTTGTCCATGATATTTTGACACGTGACTCTTACCGCCACTCTAAGCGGTCTTTTAGTTGTGTACATATCCTTTCAACATCCTCATTGGGTATACCTAGGGGAATTTGCACCCCTCTAAGGAATGGATACATCAAGCACTACTCTTGAATTATTCAAAGGAACTTTCAAATGCTAAATTCATTTAACTTGTGAGGTTATGCCCTATCTAAGTGGTTAACAGGCTTTTGAGTACTACTCGTTACAAACCGTTCGCCACCCTCCCCATTTTATGGCGTCAGATAGGGGACAAAATCGATCATCACATTTCGTGTCGTCGGAATGATCCTGTGGAAAATTGCTCTTCGCGTCGTCGAGTTCCACTCTTCGTGTCGTCGTGTTTTCGTGTCGTCGTGTTTTCGTGTCGTCGTAATTTCGTGTAGTTGTAAGACTTAAAGCTCTTATTTCGTCGTGTTTTTGTTTAGTCGTGTTCTTCATTTCGTCGACGACGGTGTCTCTAGGTCTGCGGTAACCCAACATTTTCTACCAATTTTATTCACTGGGGCCCACACAAGCGGCGTGTCTGGTCGTTTGTTCGAAATATAAGGAAATAAATGAAAATCTACCTCATTTGCTGTGTATTGTCGATTGTGTGGTTCTAAATGGCGAATTTGAGCGATTTGGTAGAATTTGCGTTGACTGTTACTATACTGTATAACTTAAACGCAAAATCTACCATAGACCTAGATATTCCTTGATATAAGTTTACGATATTACGACTCTTCAATATTCTCCTATACATTTCTTTACATTTGGAACAAACGACCAGACACGCTGCTTGTGTGGGCCCCTGTGAATAAAATTGGCGGAAAATGTTGGGTTACCGCAAACCAAGAGATACCGTCGTCGACGAAATAAAGAACACGACAAAACAAAAACACGACGACGTAAGAGCTTTAAGTCTTACGACTATACGAAATTACGACGAAACGAAAACACGACGACGTAAGAGCTTTAAGTCTTACGACTATACGAAATTACGACGACACGAAAACACGACGACGTAAGAGCTTTAAGTCTTACGACTATACGAAATTACGACGAAACAAAAACACGACGACGTAAGAGCTTTAAGTCTTACGACTATACGAAATTACGACGACACGAAAACACGACGACACGAAGAGTGGAACTCGACGACGCGAAGAGCAATTTTCCACGGGATCAAGAAGTTCCGACGACACGAAATGTGATGATCGATTTTGTCCCCTGTCTGACGCCATACCATTTACATCTAACATGAAAGTCTACTTTATAGCGCGTGTGTCCTTTGAATACATCATGTAGTTTGGAAAGCAAGGAATGCCGGAATTCGGAGCCGGAATTCACGGAATGACAAAATAAATATTAACCATAACCCTAAAAGATACCCTAACCCTAACTTTTTCACCTGATTTTACATTAAATAGAGCTATTTGATTGTTTAATCCTGAAAAATTGATTTTTCCGAAAAAAATTGGTTCTTTGTAAACCCGAGCTATTACAAATTAATGCTTTACCTTAAATAATTATTAACCACACATTGGGAGCTCTCAAAGCCGCTACCATTAAGACCAGCCGTGTACAGTTAGAATTGAGAGATCGTCAGTTACTCGACACCTTTTCGCGTTTATTATATATACCTTGAATTATATACCTTTGAATATAAACCTTGTACTGATGGATTCTTCTAAACAAGGTTTATAGTTAAAGGTATAAATTCAAGGTATTTATAATAAACGCGAAAAGGTGTCGAGTAACTGACAATCTCTCAAGTTTAACTGTAGACGGCTGGTCTTGATGGTAGCTCCCAATGTGTGATTAATTATTATTTAAGGTAGAGTTTTTATTTGTAATAGTTCGGAGCTTTTTACAATTGAACTATTAAACTAATTGGAAATATTGCATTTGTTTAATCTTCTGCAATGGTTCCGGCTGGAAAAGAGTGGCGGCCAAATGGTCATGGCGCCCTAGACATCCTACAGGTGTGTAAATGAGTGGAGGCGAATTTAAAACGGGGCGAAACCATGTGATGGACTAGCATCCCATCCAGGGGGAAGGGAGAGTACAAATATTTCGTTGCTTAGGCTGTATGGGCTACTGGCCTGACGCAGACTTTTTTTTTAATTCTAATACGTGTATCTCCCTGAACAGTCCCGGTAACTGTTTTTTTGGGGGATCCTCCGAGAAAAATTTCGTATTAAATTATTTAATTAAGTTGTGACCATTAATTTTTAATCATCAATATTCTTATTTATTTATTAATTTACTTTTATCTTTTTAAATTTTTTCGGGAACTCTGGGTATTCCAAGTATTCCGGTTCTGGTTCTGAATTCCGGCATTCCATATCTTCCAAACCACCAATACATCATGTCCACTGAATCTTCTTACATGAACCCCGGGGCTAGAATTACAACTAATCTGATCTGACTTCAACCTAGAAGTAAGGCTCGTGTATTTTTCAAATTTAATATGTATAATCTGCGATTCTTCACCATCTTCTGCCAACTCGCTCGTCTGCTGATAGTCACAAAGCAAGACAGTTCATCGAAAGAGAGGCAGCTCCATTTTTACCCTGCTGAGCAAGAGGTGATTTCTTCTCCGATTATTTTTCACTTAACTAAAACAACACAATATTCCGATTTGTAGGGGACTGGGGGGAAAGGCATTTCAAATTTAGTTATATAACACCAATCGTCACTTGTTTTGAAACCAAATGCGCTTGAGGTGCATTTCATAAAGAAAATAGAAACAGGAACACAACAACGCGCTAATTCCGTTCCGCTTCGCATACTTCTGCCACGCGAAATTCGCGAAAAATGAAATAATGAATTCTGCGAAATTCGCCCGCACTGAAATAACAGTTTGGCGTGTTGGATAATAAATAACTGATTAGACGTTTTGTTGTGTAGTATCGCTGAGTATTTTCACTCGTTATTTGTATTTTGACTCGCCCTACGGGCTCGTCAAAATACGGCACAACTCGTAAAAATACTCAGCGGTACTACACAACAAAACGTCTAATTAACAATTGGTTCATGCTTTCAGCTGTGCACTATCGAGTTATGGAGCACGCAGGAAGTTTGGAGAGAACGAAAGAAGCGTAAGAGTTGCCCGAGGCGATAGCCGAGGGCAACTCTAGCTTCATGAGTGCTTTCCAAAATTACCCACCGTTCAAGTTATTTTCAAGAAACGAATTGACTTGTCGATTATTACATTACAAATAAACCCATAGCCCTCCTTAAAACAACGCATATTTCTTTCTTATGGCTCCTTCGAGTTTTTTCGGGGGAGGGGTGGTGAATTAAATCTTCTAGTTGTATAACAACGCTCGTCACTTGTTATGAAACCAAACGTAACGCTTGTCAGTTGTTATGAAACCAAACGTGCTTGAAGTACACGTGAATAAGGAGGAAAGACCAAGGAAACAATGCAGCAGCGTGCTTTTTTAAGTTATTCGCCATTAAGATTCACTCGAAGCAACGCCATTATGACCGTTGATATGGTTTCGCAGTGAATGTGAAAGAAAGCGGAGAGATATTTATGCTGCCATCAGGTCTTCCATGAGTTTGTAACTTTGGTAGGTGTCATACCAAACAACCTTCACGTGCAGATCGAGGAACACCAGGCATCCAAAGTCTACTCTCAAGTTAAAGTTCATGCGTATACTGGGTTGATGGAGTCGAGAGGGAGGATCTATTCGGCCTTTACTGAATTCCTAATTTGTTTTCCCTTTCAAGCGTCTTGCAAACTTTCTGAAGTCTATTTCAGTAGATAAAATGCTTGAATAACAAAAGGACATAATCAGTACAAAATATTTGCACGCCAAAAAGGTGTTGAAGTTTTCATTCTTCTACTTCAGCCAGCTTGTTTTTCCAGTGAGATAAGGCCTAAGAAAATAAAATGAGGAAAACAGCAGCTGGGAATAGGAGTGTTTTCAAGGTTGCACTGTTCAGTGTACGCGTGACTCACAGGTATCACGTTTTGGTGGGTGGAATAATAATGTATCTGACATGACATATCTAGTTGTTTGTGAGTTAACCGCTGGATTGAGCAACAGAAAAAGCGTGAGCCTTATCATGCATGTTGTTTGGTTGGTTGGTAATCCTTGGTAAAATATGTGTTGATCGTGAATTAGTCCGGAACAATCTGAGTAATTCTACTTGATTTGTGAAAGAGCTCTTTTGGATTCAAGGTGAGATTCCTTTTCACAAAATTAATTTTATTCTAGGGCAAATAAGGTCAGCAAGTGTACTGCGAGTAATAAATCGAATTCATACTGGCTCAAATAAATTTATGGGAAAGATTTCCGTAGAACCCCATACCAGTCAAAAACAGAGCTGTCATCACAAAGGTAATCTGTTTTTTTGCCTCTGCTTTCTTCATCGAAGAATTGTATGCATAACGAAGTATGGGGTTAATTGGAAATCTTGCCCTAATTTCCCCATTCCAGATAGTTCAGTGAATGCAGAGCAGCTTAAGCGAACATCGTTTGATTTGGTTTAGGCATCTGCGTCAGTCTCCATTACATTATCCTTTGATTACTTTTTCATCGCTCCGCTGAACTGACTGATGAAGATCGTAAGCCTTGTCATGTGTGGTGTCTTAGACGATACTGCTAAATATCCACGAGAAAACCTAGCTGAAGTGAGGTTCCTTTTCGTTTTGTTAATCATATTCTAAGCTGATTAAGGTCTGTATGTGCACGGCAAGTAGTTACTTGTACAACACGTAATAAATTTAACTCATTCAAGCGCAACTTTATTTCAAAATCGCCATTTGGTGAAGAAAAATCATTAAAAAGGTCACCAGAAATGTATTGTAGTCATCAGGAAAAGAATAACTTTAAAAAGTTACATTAAAATTTCGTTGCAAGTGAGTGATTTACAATAAAATTTCTTGCTTAACTGACACAATTGCAAAATGTCTTCAAGAAAACAAAAGAGCAGTAGTTATGAGCCCTGAATTATTGATAGAAAATTTCTGATGTTACAGTGAATGCTAAGTAACATTTATCAAGACTGTTTGGTATTTTGTATCAATGTCTGAATATATATAATTATATATTCAGGTATCTAAAGCTCTGCTTTCATGTCCAAATTGAGCACTGTGGGATGAGTCATTGCCACTAGCATTGTGCATAGCTCACTAGGCTCTTCTAGTTCAAGCACTCTGGGATGGCTTAGACGATACCACAAGTGTGGGATCATTTGGGGATCCTTATCGGTTCTCCCCCATCCTAGCATCAGCACTGCACTGATGAGGCCCAGAAGGCCAAAACAGTACTGTCTGCAGTTTAATTATATAATTAGGAAGTCTGCATTTCGACTATTCTGTGTTACAGTGCTGAATGTATGAAAATAGAGTGCAATATATGTTAACTTAGAAAAATATAAAGACTACGCTTTTATCCCTACAACCCTGTTTTGGGACTGCTCACTCATCAGGGGATTGTATGTTGAGTTGGGAAAATACAAAGACAACGCTTTCATCCTTATGAGCCTGTTTTGTGATTGCTCACTCATCAGGGGATTATATGTTGAGTTAGGAAAATACAAAGACCACACTTTCATCCCTACAAGCCTGTTTCATGATCACTCACTCATCACAAAACGGGCTTGTAGGGATGAAACTGCAGTCTTTTCCTAACTCAACATATATTGTGCTGTACTTTTATATATCAAGCACTCTGATACAGAAACACCCTCTCTCATTACAGCTCAACAGCTGTTATTTGGAGCACTGTATTTTTTTGCAAGAGCCATGGTCAGCTTCCAAGCTAGCTCTTCTGCTATTAGAGACTTAGCTAATAACTGAAGTCATGATCTGTCAGTCACATGTAACAAACATCAGCCCAATAGGCAAAGCTTTTCCAATCCTCATTGTAGAAGATAACAGCAATTTGCATTCCAATCTCATTCTTGATATTTTCTCCCTTCTTATATTTTACAAAAGTTACCAGCTGCTTATTGGGTGTTAATGTGAGACATACCTTCTGTTCTTGACTAGTTCATGAAAATGGTCTAGTTTGTCTAGTAGAATACCTGCCCTAAGAAATATTTAGACAGCTGTACTCTTAGCAGTTGCTACTCATCATACTTCATCTCACCTTTAGGATATACCTGCTGATCTAACTTTTTTGTAAACTAGAGTATTGTGGCTTCCCATTCTTTTCTTTTGAGTATCCCTTTCTTTTCTGAAGTTGTGCTTAGACAACTCTACTGGATGCTTGGTTATGCTGGCTTTCATAGCAACTACTACTCAGCAAGCATGACCAAAGAGATCTTTGTTGGAATTTCAAAAAGGCTCATTCTAGAATCCACAACTTCATATCTAAACAGGTTCATATTCCTTGGGGAATAAATTAATGAGACCCAGGCATACATTGTTTTTTTCAAAAAACTCTAAATGCTATTCCTGGCCAGATGTTGACAGACATCTGGTTGACACTTGATCACCTGTTTTGTTCCCTCAATCATTGCAGTCGTTTTTTGCAGGTTAGGTGTATATGTTTCTAATTTATTTGTTATTTCTCACCCTACACTCCAGGAATCTAAGGATCTAACTTGCTGTAAATTCAAAGTTATTTCCTGTGAAAAGCGTTGTAGGCTGCTACTTATTAAATTTCTAATTTTGCAACAAAGACATCTTTGCAGTAAATGGTTTGAACCCGGGGGTAACATGTGAAGGTGTAGTCTGATGGTCCAGGTGACTGTAGCCCTGAGAAGGACTGTTGTCGGTGGTAGTGACTGATGTTTCGACAACCTGTGCGGAAGTCATCATCAGAGTCAAGTGAATGATTGTTGTCAGTAGAATGTTCTTATTCCAGTTCGTGTGAAATGATCGGTTGGTTTTGCTGTGATGAAGACATCTTTATTTTGGTTTTATCTTAGGTGCACTATTTATGGCTGAGAAAGAAAAACACAGAAAAGCACTACATTGGTTTCGTAAAAACCTTCGGCTTCATGATAACCCTGCACTACGTGAAGCACTGAATGGAAGTAGTGAGGTGCTGGCGGTTTATATACTTCCACCTCATATTCCAACGAATGGAAAGATCAGTGCAAATCAATGGAATTTCTTGATGGAATGTTTAGAAGACCTAGACAGAGGTCTAAGGTGTTTTGGCTGTCAGCTGCTTGTTGTACAAGGTTATCCAGTTCAAGTAATTCCTAAACTCCTGAGTAATTTGGAGGTGTCAAAGTTAACATTTGAAACAGAAAATGAACCATTTGGTAAACAGAGAGATGCTGTTATAACTCACATGGCTGAGAGTGCTGGTGTGGAGGTTATTTCCTGTTCTTCACATTCCCTGTATGACATTGAGCATTTTCTCAAAGCAAATGGTAACAAGGTTCCATTACTCTTTAATGACTTTCTTGACATCATTTCTACAATTGGACAACCTGAGCTTCCAGTGAAAACACCGAATGAAGAAAGCTTTTCAACACTGAGAAATAGTGAAAATAAATTATTCATTGACTATCACATACCAACGCTTGAAGATCTTGGAATTAACAAATCTGAAGTGACCTGTAGAAGAATTTGGCATGGTGGAGAGACAGAAGCCTTGAAAAAATTGGAAGATCTTCTAAAGGAGGTATGCTTCAATCAGATACTTTGAATTAATGATAACAATGTAAGGACATCTATTAGCAGTGCCCAAGGAGGAGAGAACACACATCATATGACACTCTGCAATCTGTTTTTGCACATCAGATATCTTCAGTCAGGCTCAAACTACACCAACAAAGGTTTTTCAGTAGCGGAGTATCCACTAATATAGAAAACAAATGAACAGTTTTAATTTTACAGAATGTTTGATCTGTATTATTTGTTAGTATTCCGTGCAGTCTATTGAAGGCTACTTGAGAGAGTTTGCAGGTTGCTATCACAGTACCTGGCCACCACCCATCTTGTTTTTTGTTTGTTTGTTTGTTTTTTTTTTGTTGCTTTTTTTTCAGGGTGGTACTGATGGAGTAAAACCTTTTGTTGCAACTACTATTTTTTCCTTTCCCACTATATGTGTTATTCACTTGTTTGTCAATTTGCAGATGATGAACACTGATTTTCAAATGGAGCCAAACAGTGAGACCCTTTTTCACAATTCTGAGGACAAGCTTTGCCCATTTCTCAGATTTGGATGCCTATCACCACGGACACTGTATCATGCAATTTCAAATACTTACCAAAAAGTAAATAATACTTCTCTTGAGTAGATATATAGAATTTGTTTTGTAGGTTAACTTTGTTTGCCTTTGCAAGGCTCCAAGCTCTTTTTTTAAAAAAGTCACCTTTTGGCAACCTTCAATTGTAAAATGGTTTGCATAAAAAAATTTTGGCCACAGAGAGCGAGAAAGACAGGAGATATCTGCATTTTCTTGTTTTATAATTTGACCAAAGATTAACGATTTTTGTTTTGTTTTAATATTTTAAAATCTTAATCGGCAAATGTACATTTTTCACTTGCCATTGAGACCAAAATGGTCGCAGCATGGAGTGCTACTGTGTCTCGAGACAATTATGGTAATCAATATAAAATAAAGGAAATTACTTGAAAAATAGCTGAGAAGGAGTTTTAGGATTGCTGTAGAAACCAAAAGTCTGAGGTGTTAATTATTTCAAAGAACACAGAACAAGTGCCTTCAGCTTGTCTTGATTCTTTTTTTATCTTAGGGATAATGTAATGCATGTCCTCTTTGGGTTTATTTTACTGTAGATACTGTCTGCAACAAGTAAGAGATTAAAAAATGTGTTCTTAAATGCTTTTCTTCCAGGCTAAGCAGTGTAATCCTCCATTGTCACTCTTTAGCTTCTTACTTTGGAGAGACTTCTACTTCTTGATTGGCAGCAAAAATCCAACTTTTCACCAAATGGAAAATAATCCACTTTGCTTGCAAATTGAATGGGAGGACAATGGTTTTGCTGTAGAGCAATGGAAAGAGGTATTATGATGTCAATATGCTATAAGTCTGAAATAATCATTTACAGTATTCATTATTGTCTTTGTTGTTGTCTTGATTTTTAACTTCAAACTGAAGCTTTTACCTTTGCACACCTTCCATCAAGTTTACAATGAAAAATATGTACACACTTCTAAATAATGAAACAATCACATTGACTTTGCCATTCCACAAACTTTGTTTTAGTTTTTAAAAAACTTATGAGAGATTGCCTTTTGAGATACTTCTGCTGGTCCAATTTAACTGTTACTGTGGCAAAAAAACTTACATGTTAGGCATTTACAGACAGAATGTCTTTTAGTTTCATTAAAACTATACATTTTTACACAGGGTCAAACAGGTTTTCCTTTTATTGATGCTGTGATGCGCCAACTACGCCTAGAAGGTTGGATTCCTGATGTTGCTGCACAAGTTGTTGGTTATTTTCTTACAAGAGGGTGCATGTGGATCAACTGGCAAGAGGGTTTTAAGGTAAAATTAGATAACTAAGTTAATTTTTGGTAATGTGGCAGTATGGCTCATTGAAAACAGCTGCTCACACTTATTTCTTGACAGGAGCAAACTTTCCCTTTGATGCCTTTTTTCTGTTTTTTCATCTTTTTTTATCTTTTGTCTTTATTTTTCAATACTTTAATACAGTTATTTAAAGCAGAAATACAGGTTCAAAGTTAACTATGAGTAAATATTCCACTTTGTCAAAAAGACCCCTCAAGACTTAGAATTCAAGTCATAGTCAGTGGATGACAAAATGAAATTCAAGAGCGTCAAAGTGATTTTAAGGAAAGGGTCTCATGTTAGGTTGCTGTACTTAATTAGGTGAAAACATTCCTTTAATATGAAACAAGAAAATGCCATGAAAGCATTTTTGTCATTCAGTTTCTCTTCTTTGACAAGAATGCAACTGCCATGCTGGAAAAAGCCAGCAGGTGTGCCATCTGTTTCATCCAATGTCTTGCTACAGACTGCTAAAAAGGATAGGTTTACCACTACCTGTAGATTAAATAAACATGATAACTTTTATAGGTCTTTGGAGAGATTCAGTTAGATGCAGAGTGGAGCATAAATGCTGGAAAGTGGTTGTCGATTTCAGGAAGTGCCTTTGACAGAATGAAACCTCTTAAGTTCATCTGCCCAGTGGACAGTGGAAGAAAGATAGATCCCTCTGGAGAGTACATCAGGTAAATAATCCGTAGCCTTTGCATTTATTGCTTGAAACAACCATTACCAAATTACTGATGAGGCTTGACAGCTGGAGTATTTGATCTTCAATGCTGCTACTTATCTGGATTAATAGATGTGTTGCTCAATGTTAAAAAGCAGTCTTCTGCCTTTTGTGGTTTAAAGCAGGAAGCAATGTAGAAAACCAAACCCACTGAGCATGGGAAAAATCAAGGGTAAAACATATAACTAATAAGCATCCCTTTTTTTCACTCACTCACTTGGGAAAAACATCCTGCACTCAAGTTTGCAAAATATCAGTCTCTGTTCTCATTAAGCATGCATTTCACAATAATTACTCTCTTCTGTTACTCTAAGGATCAAACCATTCTTGGTTTCTAACAACCAATTTAAGTTGCACATTTTTTAAAACTTCAATAATCAGACATGGTTTGATACTAGTCTGGTTTAAAGATTTGATGAATCTAACCGAAATTACAATTCATAGACCCAACGTTTCGACACTCCTGTCTAGTGCCTTCATCAGGCGTGATCTGAACGTTGCAACAAGAGGACCTTTTATATGCTCACTAGTTAGCTGCCGTTTTCTTTCCACGAGGTGTAAATAGGAGTCAGGTAAAAAGCCGTCATCATCACGATGTAAAGGAGCGTGGGTGGAGATGATATGCCAAGCTTCCAAACAATGGCGCTAGTTGTAGCTGCGATTGGTGGTGATAATTTTAGATTAATCCCACCCAATGGTATGGTTAGTTAGAAATGTGTGCTCCGACAGAGCTGAATTTTCTTTTTTGCAAAAGTACACTGCCTTGTGCCGCTCTTTCAAACGTGTATTAAACTGACATTTAGTCTGTCCGATATACTCCTGATCACAGTCATTGCACGGAATAGAATAAATAGCATCGGTTCGTTGTTCTTCACCAACGAACTGATCTTTAAACCGGAGTAGCATCAAACCGTCTTATTGTCCACCTGGTTCCTGTGTGAACTTTGATGTAACTTCAATGATTTTAGGAAATATGTGCCTGAGCTCCGCCACTTACCCACTAAGTACCTGTTTGAACCATGGAAAACTCCTAAACCAGTTCAACAAGCTGCTGGATGCATAATCGGTAAAAACTACCCCTTACCATTAGTGGACCATAAAGAACAGTTAAGGAAGTGTGAAAAGAGGCTAATGGAACTGGCCCACAACATGAGTACTGAAAGCCCAGGTATATAAAATGACTTTGAAGATTTCCTGAAATTACTTTTGTCTAGGTTCTCTCTAAAGAAATAACAGGATTACGGATTTCCCCTTTCTTTATTCAGTGCAACAAAGCAGACACACCAGTCTGCATTTGTTTAGAAAAGACCTGAGGCTTCATGACAACCCCACATTGCGCTCCTGTTTGAACGGAAGCGAGACATGCAAAGGGGACACACCAGTCTGCATTTGTTTAGAAAAGACCTGAGGCTTCATGACAACCCCACATTGCGCTCCTGTTTGAACGGAAGCCAGACATTCTATCCTGTGTACGTTTTGGACACTGCGGCAGCAAAGCAGAGCAAAATCTCAGCCAACCGCTGGAATTTCTTACTTGAGAAGCAGAGCAAAATCTCAGCCAACCGCTGGAATTTCTTACTTGAGAGCTTAAGAGATCTGGACAATCAGCTAGAAAGACTTGGATCGCACTTGTTCGTAGTACGAGGCAGAGATGTGGAGGTGCTCCCTGAACTATTCTCAATGTGGGGCGTAACTCGCGTTAGCTTTGAAACTGACTGTGAGCCATTTGGGGCCCAGAAAGATGCCGTTCTCCGACATATAGCAGAGAAATCAGGCATTGAAGTTATAAGCGAAACATCGCATACTCTGTTCGAGCCTAGCCAAATTATTCGTGCCAATCAGGGAAACATATCGATGCTTTTCAAGGAATTTGTGACAGTGATTGAAGAGAACAAGCTCAGTGTACCTAGTCCTGTCAAAGAAGTGAACAGACAACTTTTAGGGAGCTGTGTGACACCAGTAGCTGTTGACCATCAGAGAGAGTATGGAGTTCCTGAATTGAATGAGCTAGGAGTGAAAGACATACGATGTGTGACAAGTGCAGAGTTTTGGAGAGGTGGAGAACAAGAGGCTTTAAGACGACTTGGTCTTCTTGAGAAAGAGGTAATTAAGTCCTGTTTCGCCACTTGAGTAAAATTTGATGATGCCGATGGCGATTAATTTACCGTTAGTTCGAGGTTTTCATGTTATAATAGTAATGACTTGTTTTTTCTTTTCTTTTGTGTTTAGCTGGTGAAAAACGACTTTGAGGAGGTTCCGTTAAGTGCGGCATCAATGAGTTCCTCACAAACTCGCTTAAGTCCGTACCTTCGTTTTGGATGTTTGTCACCCAGATTGATGTGGGAACGTTTTACAGATTGTTATGTCAAGGTATGCATCGCGAAGTAAGCGTAACAGGTTACAATGAAATAACGGGTATTGTTTTGTGAAATGATACTGTGAAAGAAGAAGATCATGCATAGCTATTATCTCAGAAATGATAAATTGACTTGTGAAGTTACGTGAATGTAAACATTTGACGATTTTTTCTTTCAACTTGTTTGTTGCATGATATGAACTCGATTAGAGCCAGCAAAAAGTGGATGTGGTGAAAGTTACAGTTTGGTGAAAACTTTAAGTAAAGTCAGACTAGGCAAATGAACCCTGTAAAATTCCCTTTTTGTTATTCTCGTGTTCACTCTTGTTTTTGTTTTCTTTTTATGGTCGCATTGGAAACAGTTGAAAGGCACAATACCACCGATGTCGCTTTATGAACCTCTTCTGCTTCGAGAGTTTTTCTTCACCATGGGAAGTACCTTCCCAGGTTTGCACAAGATGGACAACAGTCCTCTCTCCCTACAGTATCCATGGGAGAAAAATGCCGAGGGTCTCCAGCGGTGGAAGAATGTAAGTCTTACTATCCTATGTCACTGACAGAGCTTTTATTGTGTATGTTAATGCGTTTTACAACTGCTAGGGCACCACTGGATTTCCATGGATAGATGCAGTAATGCGACAGCTGCGAACAGAGGGTTGGATTCCTCATATGGCACGTCAGGCTGTTGGGTGTTTTTTGACCAGGGGATGCCTTTGGATCAACTGGGAAGAGGGATTCAAGGTAAGAAATATTTAAATAACTACTGTAAAGTGAGTTTCTGTTTCCGAGTGGAGTGATTTAAAGAATGATTTACTTTCATAAGGTTTTTGAAGAGCTTCAATTGGATGCTGAGTGGAGTCTGAATGTGGGAAATTGGCTGTGGCTGTCCGGAAGTACTTTTGTGGAAGAGCACGTGCCTTGGTTTTGTCCCGTGGAAGTTGGAAAGAAAATTGATCCTACTGGTGAATATGTCAGGTAAAATTATGTTTAAACAGTAGTCTCAGAGTGGGTGAAGTAACTGTTTCCCTTGAACTTTTTTTTATAAGGAAATTTTGTTTATTTGCGTCATTTTTAATTTGAATTTTTTTTTAAATGTTCTTCTTTTGTAGGCGTCATATCTCAGAACTTAAGAGGCTGCCTCTGCAATATCTTTTCGAGCCTTGGAAGGCGCCCCTCGTAGTTCAAAAGGCTGCCCGGTGCGTGGTTGGTGACGATTATCCAGAACCAATAGCAAATCATATTGATCAGCGAAAGATCTGTGTACGACGCTTGAAAGATGTGTGCAACTCCTTGAACTTATTAGGTAGCTATTATTGTACAACTGATTATGATGATATGAAATCTAACTAGCTTTACCCTTTCAATGTTTAAGAGTATTCCTGTCCGAAATATCCGGTGAAGATTTATCGTATAAAGTAGAGAGAAATACATGCGGTGCCGCTTTTGAAATTGATTTGTTATTTGTGAAATTGTTTTTTACAGCGCTCGATGCATAAAAGTAGAGCGAAATATATGTTGAGTTAGAAAAATACAAAGCTTTTATCCCTACAAGCCTGTTTCGTGATTGCTCACTCATCAGGGGATTTTATTGACGAGTGAGCAATCACTAAACAGGCTTGTAGAGATGAAAGCTTAGTGTTTTTATATTTGTAACTCAACATACAACATACATACATGTATATATATAGATATATATTGTGGGAGGAAAAAGACAAGTAAACTACAAGGGATGAACTTGTAGTTTACTTGTCTTTTTCCTCCCACAATATATACTTCGCTCTACTTCTATGTATTGAGCACTGTTCTACGAAAATCAAGTCACACTTTATATATATATATATATAA